TAAAAAGACTGCTAATCTAGAGAGACTACTGATCTAGAGAGACTGCTGATCTAGAGAGACTACTAATCTAGAGAGACTGCTAATCTAGAAAGACTGCTAACTTAGAAAGACTGTTGATCTAAAGAGACTACTAATCTAAAGAGACTGCTGCCTGTCTTACTCAAAGAGGGAAAAAACACTTTCTTCAAATTATTATAAAAGCACTTCTCAATGACTGTAAAATTAAAGATTTGAAGATACTACTTATACAAGAACTCTCTTTCACATATTATATAACATTAATACAACACTTATATTGAAGAGTGTTTCAAACATCATGCACTAAAACACATGTCACAGAGTATAGTCTAATATATGTTAATAAGTACATATTAACCTCAGTATACTGACAAAGACAGTGTCACAGCTCAGATGTTATAGCAATTGAGCTTCAGATAGAAGAAAGTCAGATCTTGATTTTCTTCATATATATCTCATTATTCAACTCAGTAGACAATCTGATATATCAGATCTTAAATAAAATCAATCAGACAATTCAGCTCTCACCTGCAATTATATTAATTATCACAGAGAATTTCAACTGATATTATCAGATGTGAGATGAAATTCAGATGAACTAAAGATAAGTCTGAGATACTGAAGATCTTCTGAACTTCATACAGACTTAAGAACTTCACAGCTGTCTTCTATCTGATACTGCTATCTACTGATCAGTGAGTCACTCAGATACATACTTCACACTCAATCTCACACTTAGTAACATTTCATATCAGTTACTTAAATATCATCTCTACTGAGATAACTATGACTCTGATCATCTAGCAATCTACTCAGAATAGAATCTATAACTAAAACAGAAAGATTCAAGTCAGTCACACAGACTTTTCAATCAAGTGAACTGAGAAGAAATTGACAAAGCTGTTAAGAAGGCAAATCATATACTGTGAATTGAATCAACAGCTCAGCTGAATGCAATAGTTGACAGATTAATCACAATAACAACAGCAGAAATAGACAAGCATATCTCACACATAAGATTATCTCTCTACATCAAATGCTGATTCAGCTGAGACCTGAAAATACAGCAGTTCAAGTGTAACAGAAGCTGAAGAAGGTAATAGATCAGTTGTGTTGAAAGAGAAAGTAATCACTCAGCTACTCAGACTCTACACACAGACACACTGTGAAAGTACAGGGAATGAACCTGAATAATAGAGAAAGTCAAGTGAGAACACTGAAAAGAAAATCTTGATAAAGTGAGTACTGACAATCATCTTTGAAAAGCAGCAGAATACATCAGTCTCTCAGACAATTATACAAACATTTCTTCTCTGATAATTAAGAATACTGAATATGCAGACAACAAAGACAAAGCTTAAATATTACTGAACAGCTTCTTCTCTTCAGTCACATTCTCACTGAGAGAATCTCTCAACCTCACTCAGAAGAAACTGTCTTAAGAGTCAATTACAGAGAAAGAAATTATAGCAACACTGATGAGAATTAAAAGCAAATCAGCTTCTGAGAATGACAGTCTCTTAGCATTAATATGAAAGAGTCTATGAAAATATCTGTTAAAACTTATACACTAAATCTTCAAAGTATCAATCAGACTGAGACACTACTTAACAAGCTGAAAGACTGCAGTGATTGTAGTACTACAGAAATCTGAGAAACTGAACTACACAGTCTCTGAAGCATATCATCTGATCTCACTTCTTAACACACTGAGAAAGATTCTGAAGAGAGTGATTATGAAATGTCTTATATACTACACAGAGAAATATAACCTTCTCTTAAACACACAATTTGAAGTCAGATCAGACAGAACTATGAAACAGACACTTCTAATTCTGATCAGTGTCATTAATCAGGTCTGAAAACATAGTAGAGTTCTGACCCTAGTCTTCTTTGATATCAAAGAGGTCTTCAATGAGGTAAATAAAGACATATTGAAGGCCAGGCTCAGAGAGATGAGAATTTCTCAGATAGTACACAGATGAGTTCAGAGCTTCATGAAAAACAGATCTATTAATATTAAATTCAATGATTTCAGTAAAAGATGAGAAAATATGAATAAGCTAAGAACAGTGTCTGATCATGACAGATATCATTTCTAGAGAAAAAGTGATCTCATAGTTTCTTCAAGAGTTCTCAGTGAATAAATCTACTCTTTCACATTTCTACACTCATAACTTACATTATTCCTGTTTGGTTTTATCTAATAATCTGTGTTTATGAATTGGCGGCAGAATACTTTGTAGTAAAAGTATTAAAAGTAAGAAAAGATTAGAAATAATAAGAATATGATTTAATCATTAAACATTCTCTGTAAAAACCTATAAATGTAGATGAGAGCTGTGTACACTCTGAGTATAACTTTTGAATTTCATAAGACAGAGTGAAATTAAGATAATGCTCTGTATTTTATAGATTCTGCAGAGTTTTTATCTGAAGAAGTATATCTTCAGCTGCTTGTAATAAATGCTCTTAATATGATTTCAGAACTTGTTTATATGCTCTCAGATCTTTATTCACTTCTCTCAGAGTAATAAGATATCAGTGATGCAGAATGAGTACTGCTTTTCACTCAGCTTTGCTGAAATAGATTCTTTCATCTGCATAATGTCTAGAGACAGATCATACTGAAAATATCACTGCAGCAGCTGCTATTTCTTGTGATAATTCTGATACTGAATTTTCTTTCAATACTGCAGCTTGAATCAGACAATGATGTATGTATATCAGTATATAAGCTGCTTATTCTCAGTCAGTTTCTGAGTGTCAGTGTATATTAACTTAACAATCTGTCTCTGTTTCAGAATCTGAAGTGATGATAAGATCAGACACTCATTCAGAGAATCACAGACTATACTATTACAGAGTCACTGATTAAATCACTCTGTATCAGCATGTTAAAAGTGTCACTGTCTCTGTCACTTGATAAGCTTGAAGTAAAGATAAACTTTGCTACAGTTCAACTGAGAAACTGTCTTTAGACTGACTGTGTAACTGTGTCTGAAATCAGAATCAGATTTTTTGATAGTTTCATTATCAATTCAACTGATCTTATTACATGGTTTTAACATTAGATAGTAGTCTCATACTGTCGCAGTGAGACTTACTGTCTACTCTTATTACATTTTTCAAATGAGATTATAATTTTCACTTCTCAATTTAAATTATTTTTATTGCTTTAAATGACTTTAAATCTCATTTGAGTGTTATCAAAAAGCATTACTTTTTAAAAAATTAAAAATAGTCTAAAAAAAACCTTAAAATGTCTAAAAATAGTAACTTTATATTAAGAATGAAACTAAATGAGACTAAATGAGATTACTTTCTTATTTTTTTCAAGTTATGATTTCATTTTAAGATCTGATATATAGTCACTTTACATGTTTTTTTAATAGCCAGTTTCAGTGAGATTCATGTCAAGAAATGTATGAGATCAAATCAAATGAGATTAAATATAAAATTTATAGTCTCAGTAGTCAGTCTAACTGTCTTTATCTTCTTCTTATACAGTGAAGTTTTGCCTCATACTACTGATATAAAATGAAATCTCATCATTCTCAGCTTCTCAGTCAGCTTTTTACTACACTTGATAAGCTCTCTAATCTTTGAGTTATCAGTGATTTTTCTTTTCAACTTATTAATAAGTTCTGTGAGAGTAGTGATATCAGTGTTTAAGAACAGCTCATGAACTGCTTTCTAAATCACTTCATTAAATAAGAGCTTTATAGCTGTAACTTTCAGATTAAATTAGATGACTATATCTAGATAGTACTGTACTGTGTTAAATTTATAATCAGTGACTTAATTCTGAACAGAGAATGAAGCTTTATCTGTAAATTCAGTAGATTAGTAAACAGTCTGATCAGAGAGAATGAAAAGAAAGAGAAGATAGAAGAGAGAATTAAAAAAAGTAATAAGATATATACTATTAATAATATTAATAAGAGAGCATCATCAGACATACTAAGTCAGATTATATTTAAACTCAGTATCAGATTAAGATATCTGAGATAGTACTTATATAGATTTTTTAAAAGATGTTCTCTCTGATATTCAGTATTCATTCTCTATGTATTCAGACTGATAGACTACTGATAAGTTCAGCATCTCTATCTTAATCTTTAAGTTCATACTGCTTAGATATAATATGATGAGATATCAGTAGATATTTTTAAGCTTTTTAAATTCAGATATGAAGATTTCATCATCTATTATCATTGAGAGAAGATGACTTAGAAGATTTAGAAGCAGCTCTGAGTTATAACTGATAATAAATGTTTTTCTACAGTCAGTCAGTTATTGAAGTATAAAATAGTACAGAGATTGAAAAGAGAGAAAGTTACAGATTCTTACACTCACAGCTTCTTATCTTTACTCTTCATGTGAAGAAGTGTAATCTTAATCAGAAGAATGTTCAGCTGATCAGTCAAGAGACTCTGAATAATATAAAATTTAATATACTGTCAGATAAGAGTCTCAGTCTTCTTCAGATCTATATTATACTTATTATTCATTACATTCTCTATAAAACAGTCAAGTTCACTGATGTTATTATCAGTGAACATGTCACTGATGTAGTCACTTTTCACTGACTCTACACTTAACTCAGTATCAGTATCATTTTCTCACACAAGCTTACTAAACAGAAATTCTTCAGAATTGCTGCCAGTGCTGTCACTTTCTGCATTAACATACTCTGAGTCAAAGTCTGTATCATTACTTATATGACTATTCAGATCACTATTCAGAGTATTGTACATAATGTCTTCACTACACATTCTGTAGTTATCATAGAATACTTTATCTCAGACAGAGCAACAGCTTCTTTGAGAAGCCATGATTCATGCCTTCTTTGTGTCATGATATTCCTTGTTGTCATCATCAGAATGAGCCCTCTTGCATTTCTCTGATGCTATGGGTCTGTTATCTTGTTGGCTGATCCGTGATCCCGTCTTCGAGTAGAGGCCGGGGGTCCCTGTCCCTCAGGGATGGTGATGGCGATGGTTGGTCTTGCGCTTTGAGCCCTTGCTGACAGTGTGCAACACTCCCTTTGACAGTCTGTCCCCAGCTTTCTCATCACCTGTTTTGATCCGGGTGTCAAACAGTGAGACCAGCCTCCCACTGGAGATGAAGGACAGGAGGATGCCTGCAGCAATGTAGAGTCGCTGTTTCTCATCAGCATACGCCTTTGTACACCGCGTCCAATGAGCATGGAGAATGTGGTACACATTGTCCTTGATGCCAGATGGCTTCCTCCTCGCTCGTCGCCGGAGACCCCATCTCTTGATAACAATGTTCTTATACTGTGTAGGACGCTTGTCAGCTGGGGCCATATCAGTTCTTCTGGTGATCTTACATTCAGACAATCGTGCACCATCCCATTGTCCATGCCATGACCAGTGTGCTCCACATACAGGGTCTTCAGGAGCTGTCAGTAACTGTTGAAGACTGATGCTGTCTTGATGCTGTCCTGGTGAGTGTTCTTGAGCCAGTCAAAGTATGTCTTGACTCAGCCTGCTGTCAGATTCTCAAGGAACTCCTCTTCTGTAGTCTTGAGTTCAGCAGAGCAGAAGCTTATCTCTGTAAGAAGATTAAATTCAATTTCTTCACAGAGATCATCACTTATCACTGAAGCTTCTACTGAACTGTTCATCTGCTTTTCTCAGCATTTGCAGAGTAGATTCTGGATGTGTGACCAGCAACATCATGTTGTTTCAATATAGCTTTGTAGTTTGGCTTTCTGGGTGAAGTCAGTCAACCTGCAGTGCATGATCTGCCAGCTTTCAGCACTTTGAATCTTCCAACTGGCATACCATTCAGGTGGGCGCGTCAGACTGTCGCTGATGCATAGGTAGATAGAAAAGCGATTCTATGGAGGAAGACCGGAGTTGACCAACCATCTGCAAGAGAGCTGCGGCGGATGGGAGAGGGAACTGGTAACAAGGATATAATGGCTTGAAGAGGAACCAACGGCAACCGAAGGAAAAGTGAGGAAAGGTAGGAAAGGGAGAAAAGAGAGGGAGGAGGGGAGGAAGACATGATAGTATTTATAGAATGGGGAAGCCATGAATATCCAGATAGCCATCATACTTGAGCGCCAGAAATGGAGCACTTCAAGCTGGGCGACTTGAGCAAATGAGTGAGCTGGGACAGGGGTGAGCGGTTCGCAAGCAGTCGCGGGAGCAGAAAGGTGAGGCCATGTGTTAATGGGCACCCAAAAAGCGGCGACTGATGACTTCCAGAATAGGTATAGTGATTCTTAGTGTGGGTGCGAATCCGCGGTGCCATAGCGGCAGAAAGCAGCGCAACCACCTTCCACTTTCGGCCGTCGTAGCCCTCAAAGATCGATTCTACATGAGATATCTTTTTGTATTTTTCTGCTGAGAATGAGCCAGATTGAGAAGGGCGGTACAAGGGTGAGACTTGGCATTGATGTTTTGAAACATCAAAGATAGACAGGGTTTTCACAGAGATCACTTCTCAGATATCTTCACAATTACAGATCAGAGATCTTCCAAAATCAAGAAGATTGATGCATATGACTAGGTCTCTTCACCTTACAATTTGTATGGCAATTTGGCCCGGGGTTGTGGTGTGGTAGGGGTGAATGAGGGATAATCCCACACAGGAGTTTTGAACAATGTCTGGTTCACATTTGGCTGGATATCTCCACCACCACACGGGGTATGCGGTCGGTGATGGGGTCAAAATGCTTGTATGATTGAGGGCTTTTTGATGGATCTATCGGCGGGTTCTTATTCGAAAAATCGAGCGAGTTCATGGTGAAGCAGTTGGCTTAAATGTTCTTCTTATATTAGTTAATAGAATTGTATGAATCATTTTCTTTCTATCAGTTAACTGTATATAACATGTTGTCAGGAAAAAGAGGTTATACACTACTGAACGCCATCAACATCGTATTACTACTATATTTCTCATTATTATCAGCTTACTACAATACTCATCTAATACTCACTTATACTAGCTCTCTTAACTCACACATATATTTTACTATAAATAGCTCTATCTTTTGTATGAAATAGATATATAAGATAGTGCACAGATAATATAACAAGCAGATCTTGATACATATAAGATTCATATATCTTCAACATATTTATCTGTGATACTTATTTCAACAGTTATGAGCTCAGTAAGCAGCATCTGAAGAGAAGTGCAATACACTGATCTCAATTCTCATTTAAACTGATAATTATTATTCAAACTGAGACAATTGATTCTCATTCATATACAGTCTGATCTACTCAACTGTTATACACTGAATTCTGATAAGCAGCATCTGAAGAGAAGTGCGATACATCAATCTTAATTCTCATTCAAACTGATAACTATCATTTGAACTGAGATGATTAATTCTCATTCATATACGGTCCGATCTACTCAACCGTTATACACTGAATCCCGGTAAGCAGTATCTGAAGAGAAGCGCGATACACTGATCTCAATTCTCATTCAAACTGATAACTATCATTTGAACTGAGATGATTGATCACGGATCTCAATTCTCATTCAAACTGATAACTATCATTTGAACTGAGATGATAGATTCTCACTCATACACATTCTGATATACTTAACTGTTATACACTCTGAATTCTGATCATATCTATTCTCAAATACTTGAATCAATTCCTCAATTCATTCAATATAACTGATATAACAGACAAGACAATGTCTAGTACAACAGTACATCTTAGTGTTTCTGAAGATTGGAAAATTTGATACAAGTATATACTAGAATATACAAAGAACAAGAAGGTATCAGACTTCATCAATCTTGATAAACCTGATATCTTCTCTGAACTAGAAGAATCTCTGAAACCTGAGTATTTAGAAGAAGTCATCACAGAGGCTAAGATAGTATATGATATCAAGATTACTGTGTGAAAAATCAAATATATGAAATATGAGAAATTGAATGAAGATATGATAAAGATATGAGATGTTATATAAAGAACAGTGAATGTTACAGAGTTATGATATGTACACAGTGAGAATGATGATGTGAAGAAGATTATCTGTTTATTAAGAGATTGTCTCTCTTCTATGATCACAGACTATCAAGATAATATGAGAATCTGATATCATGATCTCTGCAAAGCACTGAAAAACAGAGATATAGAGAAGTGATTAAATGACTGATCTCTTATTGAAGATAATATTAAAGAGATAAATATAGCTGAACAGTTTAACTTGAAGAAAGACTTCTTAAATGTGAACCTAGCTATTGATGCAGATTATACACAAGCATGAGCTAAGAATGTCTGATATGATAAAGATATCATATCTTTAATAGAGTTAGTTAAGAACTTCAAGAAACAGTATAGAGAAATGAGTATTCTCAAAGAAGATAAATCTATGAACTTTACTACTCTTAATGAAAGACCTCAGTAATTCTCATTATCAGTGACATTCAGAAACTGTATCTACAGAGCTCATCACTGATACACTCAGTGCTACTATCTCAATTCATTAAGAAAGTCATCTGAATAAAAGAAAAACAGAGAGAAGAGAACTCAGATTGATTAAGCTCTTAAGAATCAAGAATTAAAGAGACGCGTTGATCATGTGATATCTAGAGATTCATTCATGAATACAGATATAATAGATGAAGCAGTTCTAGAAGAAATGATTCTGAAGCAATCAGATTCTCAATCTATTGTTTCTCAATCTATTGATAATCAATCTATCAATTAGCAGATTCAAAAAATATCAATGAACTCTTCAAATTCATACTTCTATCTCTGAAACTCCTGGATCTTTGATACTGGCGCAGAACAGCATATATGCAATAATTGAACATGTTTCCTATTCTTTACACCTGTGAATGCAGAAGTCTATACAGGTGATTTCAGCACTAAAGTTGAAGGTTATGAAACTGTTAGAACTATTATGATAAATGAAGCAGAAAAGCAGTTCAATGTCAACCTCATCAATGCGGCTTACATCCCGAATTTCCATACAAATATCATTGCATGAAAACCGTGTTTCCATATAGAAGGCATCTATTATGATGGAAAAGACTTCAGATTGTGAAAACGCGCAGATAATATAATCTTTGCACGTGTTAAAGTATTTAAGAGGTTGCTAGTTACAGAATATAGTGATATAACTGTTTTCTCATCTATATCTAAAAAAATGATATCTTCAAATTCTTCAACTTCTATAAAACCTTCTTAAAAACCTAAGATCTCTATCACTTCTCAGTCTACATGATATAAGAGTTTAGAACATTCTTCAAAAATCGTCATTTAAAATCTTGCAAATGATGCAACTGATATTCAAATCACTCATTAAGAAGATGCTGCAGATAAGCTTATCACTAGACTGGCCGCTGAGACTATGAATTTCACGTTTGATCTCATTTGATCTGGTCTCATACATTTCTTAGCGTGAGTCCCGCTGGGACTGGCTATCAAAAAAACATGCAAAGTGACTATATATCAGATTTTAAAATGAGACCATGACTTGAAAAAAATGAGAAAGTGATCTCATTTGATCCCATTTAGTCTCATTCTTGACATAAAGTTACTATTTTTAGACATTTTAAGGTTTTTTTTAGACTATTTTTAATTTTTTAAAAAGTAACCCTTTTTGATAACACTCAAATGAGATTTAAAGTCATTTAAAGCAATAAAAATAATTTAAATTAAGAAGTGGAAATCATGGTCTCATTTGGAAAATGTGATAAGAGTAGACAGTAAGTCTCACTGAGACAGTATGAAACTACTATCTAATGTTAAAACTGTGTAATAGGATCAGTTGAATTGGTAATGAAACTATCAAAAAATCTGGTCCTGGTCTCAGACACGGTCACACGGTCAGTCAACACCTGAATCTATGCCAGAGTCAACAGGTCTCAATATTGATATTAATACTCAATCAGCTTCAATAGCTAATCGTACTCAGAACACTGATGTTGATATTAATACTCAATCAGCTGCAATAGATGATTGTACATGAAACATTGCATCTAGAGCTCATAATATCAGTGCTAACTTTGATGAAGATAATATCATTGAAGACTGCAGAACTTGAAATCACAGAGCTGCTTATCTTATAACAGTTGAAAATGTCAAAGACAATTCTTTTCAAATGATCAATGATGCATTCTCTCATTCTCATTCACACACAGACTTCTACAAGTCTCAAAATTTATTTTCTAATACTGTTTTCACTGTTATTAACAATACATCTACCTCGACAGCATTCATACTAACTTCAAGAATTCATAGATCTCAACTGCCAGATTCATTGAACCACTGAACAGATGTTAAAAAACACTCACATTGTGAAGAAACTGAGAACGCTAGGCTTCATCTCTATGCCAGAGAATTGCTGCTTCTTCTCAAATAATTGATTAATTGT